CTCAAAGCAGTTCCTGACACTTCAGCGAAACACGTTGTCAAAAAACTAGACTACTTGTTTTCACTCCTGGGAAACCCAAGGAGAATAATAACCGATGCGGGAAAAGCTTTCACATCAAAATGGTTGAGAAAGTTCACTGAGAACAAAGGAGTTAGACTGTTCACAACGACGGTTGGGATACCAAGCTGAGCGAATGTACAAAACAATTCTGGACGCTCTTGCTACAACAGGGGCAAGTACAGTTTCCGACAATTGGGATGTGAAATTAGTACAAATTCAACAAGGCATCAACAGCACCAAACACCGAATCACAAAAAGCACGCCTGCAGAATTACATTTCGGCTACCAATTGAGAACAGACAACGATAAATTCAGCAGTGACGAAGCCTGTCCAATCGACATAACTAAAATCAGAGCAGAAGCATCAAGAAGGTTAGATGATAACAGAGCGAAACAAAACACTGCCTCCAATAAAAAGAGGGGATCTCCGAGAAATTTTTAAGTTGGTGATATAGTATTAACGAAAGTTACTAGCTTCCCTGCAAACAATCAAAGCAAGAAGCTTCTTTCAAAGTATCGAGGTCCATTCAAAGTGGTAGAAGTTCTTTCTAATGACCATTACAAAGTGAAAGAAGATCGTCATACGGAAAGATCAAGTCGCCCCTATGAAGCTGTGGTAGTAGGGGAGCAGATGAAACGTTTCGAGATTCAGAATAATTAGGTATGTGAAAAGGTTGGCCCTCAGATGGCAAAGGTTGGCCCTCAGATGGCAAAGGTTGGCCCTCAGATGGCAAAGGTTGGCCCTCAGATGGCAAAGGTTGGCCCTCAGATGGCGAAGGTTGGCCCTCAGACGGCAAAGGTTAGCCCTTAGATGGCATATGTTCGGCCCTTAGATGGCATATGTTCAGCCCTCAGATGGCATATGTTCAGCCCTCAGATGGCATATGTTCGGCCCTCTGATGGCTTATGTTCGACCCTTAGACGGCATATGTTCAGCCCTTATATGGCATACGTTCGGCCCTCTGATGGCTTATGTTCGGCCTTCTGATGGCATATCGATCCTATAATGGCATATTATGATCAGCCCTAAGATGCCATATGTCAGCCCTCAGAAGGCAATGTTTAAAAAAAAAATGCCTTTATCATCACAGGGAAAATGGACATTCGAGGGCGAATGAAACCAGGATGGCCGTGCAGGATGATGCCGAGTCATAGGCATGACAAGGTAGTGAGTCAGAGGAGATGAGCTATCGTCTATGATATAACCATCTATGAATTATAGATGCATTCCTGTTTGTACCGTTCGAGTAACAACTTGTCTTGTAAGCTAGTAGTCGGGTTCAGTTGAATATAGGGTGTTACAGTGTTTGTGTCGTATTTTAATTCGAAGACCTCACCCTCCTACATGATAAAGACGCCCCATTTGAAATATAAATAATTACAAAAAGGGTGTTCTGAATAACCCCGTATATTATACCATTTCGGAATCTGTATTAAATGGGCACCTTATTCCTTATAGTTGATTGATTATGTGGTGTAGGTTTTAAATCTGCCAGCGGCATTAAAAAATCAACATTCATTCAACAAAATTCGAGACAAAACTTGAGGAAAACAACATTTCCCCTAATTGATAGGAAGTAGAATACTGGTCATAATAGTAGATTGTTTTATTAGGATCAAAAGTGACACTTTGTTTGACAAGCGAATTTTTCAGAATTTGCGAGACAAACACTCACTTTTGATCCGAATGAAACATGCTATTTTTTCCGCAACCGAAACAATTAACTCAAATAATAGTAGATTGTTTTATTAGGATCAAAAGTGACACTTTGTTTGACAAGCGAATTTTGCATTTGCGAGGCGGAGCGTTTAGCGAAGCCGAGCGAAAGCAAAATTTGCGAGTCGAACAAAGTCACTTTTGATCCGAATGAAACATGCTATTTTTTCTGCAACCGAAACAATTAACTCAAATAAACGTGTGAAGTAACCACCAATGCCGTGCCATAAGTATGCAATGCAACAAATATTGACGAATAATCCATGTGGTGAGAATATTCTACCTGCATTAACAGCAGGTTAGGTTTTCTAGGATGTTCGAATTGTAGTTTCAATATAAATACAACCACAGAGTGACATATTTGTGTATGGACCAGGTGCTCTGATGGCAAATACAGCGCCAGTGCCAGCAATAGGAACAAGACGTGGAAAATGTTAGGTTAGTGAGCATATCAACAATGATAATAGTGATTATTTATTCCTCTCCATATATACTACACTGTGTTTGACTTGATAATCAAATGAAGCTAAACAATATCGTTGTTTGAGACAAAAAAAATATTGCTTGCCGTGATTATTCAAAAACAAGTTATCCATCCCGAGAATAAGGAATGAAATACATATCAAGCAAGTATTTGAATCTTGAAGGCTTCCATGATCAAAACAAAAATACCTAACTGAGATGTTCATAATTCCAATACTAAACTATAATAAGGTGTATTTATATCTCCAGCATGGGTATGAAATGCCAAATCTGCTGAAATCGGAAACAAATCAGGTATGCGTCTCAACCCAAATAACCAACCGTCACAATGTTGTTTATTCTTGATGACGTCCAGTAGGTCCTTTTTAATTCCTAGGAGCTAAAGTTCAACTTTAGCTCCTAGGAGCTAAAATTCAACTTTAGCTCCTAGGAACTAAATATGTTGCCTAGCAACATACCTATTTTTGTGTCAGTAATAGAAACGTCAATTTAAGAGCTAATTTTGGTATCAAAATGGACGACTTTTGTGTCGGTTGCAGAAAAATATATGAAGTAACCACCAATGCCGTGCCATATGTCTGCAATGCAACAAATAATCCATGTGGTGAGAATATTCGACCTGCATTAACAGCGGGTTCATTCAATTTTCAAGGGTGTTCGAATTGTAGTTTCAATATAAATACAGAGTGACATATTTGTGTGTGGACCAGATGCTCTAATGGCAAATACCGCGCCAGTGCCAGCTATAGGAACAAGACGTGGAAAATGTTAGGTTAGTGAGCATATCAACAATAATAATAGCGATTATTTATTTCTCTGCATACTCCACTGTGTTTGGCTTGATAATCAAATGTAGATAAACAATATCGTTGTTTGAGACAAAAAACTATTGCTGGCGGTGATAATTCAAAAACAAGTTATCCATCCCGAGAATAACGAATGAAATACATATCAAGCAAGTATGTGAATCTTGAAGGCTTTCCTGATCAAAACAAAAATACTCAACTATACCCTGGATTATGTACACTAGTGTGAATACTCAAAGACTGTACTAAGGTGTATCTATATCTGCAGCATGGGTATGAAATGCCAAATCTGTCGAAATCGGAAAGAAATCAGGCATGCGTCCCAACCCAAATAACCAACCATAACAATGTTGTTTATTCTTGATGACCTCTAGTACATCCTTTTTAGTTCCTAGGAACTAAAGTACAACTTCAGCTCCTAGGAACTGAATGTGTTGCCTAGCAACATACCTATTTTTGTGTCAGTAATAGAAACGTCAATTCAAAAGCTGATTTTGGTATCAAAATGGACGACTTTTGTGTCGGTTGCAGAAAAAACTGTGTTTTTAGGCTTCAAAGAGTGGTGATAAGTTTCAGACTTCCCTTCATAACAACGCAATTTTCAATGACAATATACAGGCGGTGTCATTTGAAAATGGAAAGTATGGGAAAGCTGCCAGGGAAATGCAATTCTTGAATTTTCCAATTATCTTGTCAAAAAATAAGCGAGATATTGCTTGTATACGATAACTTGGAACACCCAGTATACGGTTGGTTTGATTGGAAATGACCCCCCCCCCTACCTAAAATTTTTCGAAATTTCTGTAATATTAAAAAAATTGTAAATTCGATAAAATTACTTCATACCAGTAGCTTCACCATGCTACTAACTTTCAATTACTAATTATCGACAAAAATATGATTTTCTTCAGAAAATGATAATCTCCGCTTCAAAATTCTGTTATGTTTGATGCAAACATAACATCAAAATTCTGTTATGTTTGAGTCAAGCATTTAGAAACGAAATTCATTAAAATTTATTTTTTCAGTACTGAAAAGATCAGTTTAAATGAGTTTCGTTTCTAAATGTTTGACGATATAATCAACTTTGCATCAAACAGAATTTGGAAGCGGGTATTATCATTTTCTTAAGAAAATCATATTTCTGTCCATAATCAGTGATAATAAGTAATTGAAAGAACCTAGCATGAAAAAGCTACTGGTATGAAGTAGTTTCGTGGAATTAACAATTCTTCAAATATTACAGAAATTTCTCAAAATTAAAAAAAAATCGAAATCTAAAAGTTGCAATAGAAAGATCAAATTCGAGAAGCATGTGTAAAATTGAAATAGAAACAACTTTTTCAAGTAAACTTTTTCGATATTCGAACAAATAAGCCTACTTTCAGCGATTAATTTGAAAAAATGTCACTTTTGACATGTAGCGAAAGTCACGTGACCCCGATTGAGTAGGCCATTTTTCATCTTTTTTGAAGCAAAACTTAACGTCCAACTCGAATTACAAAATAAGTCATTAATAAAAGTTTTTACCATATAATGCCGACTTTATGAATGACACTGTATATAGTATAGTATATAAGTATATAGATTCCCAGCATTCTTGCAGTTAGAAACATAAAAAAACTTGCATCTTATTATTTTCCCATTTTGTTCGTTCATTGTCTGTCAGAACTCGATGTTTCTATTCTTGGTTATGCCCTTGGTTATGCCTGACTGTCAATGCTTGTCAGAGTGTCCGTACTGTAGTAATTATTACACAAAATCGTCAAACCAAAAGCGTCAAGCACAACAGACGCTTGTCGAAAATTGTGACGTCATTCAGTTTCTTTATTTGAATGAGACTTTCTTCACTTTCATGTTGAAAATTTGCTGTGAGAATATTAAAAAATGGGGAAAGTCTTTAGGCGTATTTGACGTAAAACTTGATTTTGCAGGTGAAATCGGCCTGCGAATTGCAATACTCCAATACTTCCAACCTTGTGCAACCGCAGAGGATCCTGAACCAGGACGCCCTGCTGCCCTACGGGGACAAGATGGCCGCCTCTGAACCCACGGACCTGTCCAACAAACGGACGGAGAACGTCACTTGCGTGCCCGAGATCGAGTACTTGAAAGAGGACACTGACACCGTTTCTGTGTCCAGCAGCAGCTCCGATCCTGAACGACTGGAAGTCGATATGTCACAGGTGAGAATATTTTTGTTAATGATTTTTTTTTTATACAGGGTGTTTCATTGGGAAAGGTAAATAATTCAACTGTGGATAGGGGTCACTGGGGTGATTTCAAAAAACCCATGGTTGATAGGTCTTCGACTTCTTATAACCGAGATACAGGTTTAATCAATTTTGTCCATATCTTCATTGTCTCATAACTTTCAAACCAACGTGTAAATATTTTTAAAAATTGGTACACTTGCTCAATCTATTCTGTGGAATTGATTGAGGCAACAACAAAAGATGAAATCCAGGTCCGGCTTCACTTAAAATTCACAAATTCTTTCTGCCAGAAAACAACACCCTATACATTCGAATTTCTCATTTTGTTTGCCATATCTGAAAAGAACATCAAAATTTCTATTCAACGATGTGCTTTTTATTCGTGCACAGACGATTTTAACTATTCATATTATGTGCTCAAAATATTATTTTTCTACAAACGTCAAAAAATGACAAGGTTCGCGCATTGATAACAAATTGCGAAGTGACACTTTTTTTCAGTTTCCTACGTTACCATGATTTCTTGCTCAAAACAATGCGCGAAGTAAAACAGTGCGCGAAGTACCTACTTCGCGCATTGTAATGTAAAATTAATGAGATATTTATATTTCAACTATATGGTCCTCAATCGAGCAAAAATCCATGGAATCATTTATTTCTGAATGTTCAACAATAACTTTGTTTTATCTCTTTAGCGCACGAAAGGAAATTCGTATTATGTTCGTGGAACATCGTGCGTACCTAGGGAGGATAGGGGGAGGCCTTCAAAGCCAGTTCGACACTATATTTTATATCTAGCTAAGCATATTACTTTAGAACTATATTTTTTGACGTTTGTAGAAAAAATGTTGTTTGCAACTCAAGCGCGAAATACTTTGGTCATCTCGACTATTTTTTTAACTCGGCTACGCCTCGTTAAAAAAATCAGATCTCGATCACCAAAGTAGCATTTCGCGCTCTAGATACAAAAATAACTATTTTGCTCATTTTGGGGTACAAAATTGGAATCAGACGAGATTTATTAATTTTATTACTTCCTATTCAGTATAGTATTACATTTAGAAGGAGTATTTCATATCGTTCTTTGTTCCAGACTTAGTTGCAGGTCCGTCATCAAAACTATACAGGGCTTTTCACGATAAGCGTTAATTAGATGTTTCTGGCAAACCACCTACCTACTTTCTAGTAGAAGCGGCAAGGCCGGATCGTTTCAAATATTTCAGTAGTGTAGATTGAGTTAATTTATACATACCATCGAAATTTCAGATTTCTCCGTTGCCTGGTTTGCCAGAAACATCTAATTAACGCTTATCGTGAAAAGCCCTGTATAGTTTTGATAACGGACCTGCAACTAAATCTGGAACAAAGAACGATATGAAATACTCCTTCTGAATGTAATACTCACGTATACTGAATAGGAAGTGATAAAATTGATAAATCTCGTCTGATTCCAATTTTGTACCCCAAAATGAGCAAAAATAATATTTTGAGCACGTAATATGAATAGTTAAAATCGTCTGTGCACGAATAAAAAGCACATCGTTGAATAGAAATTTTGATGTTCTTTTCAGATATGGCAAAAAAAATGAGAAATTCGAATGTATAGGGTGTTGTTTTCTGGCAGAAAGAATTTGTGAATTTTAAGTGAAGTCGGACCTGGATTTTATCTTTTGTTGTTGCCTCAATCAATTCCACAGGGTAGATTGAGCAAGTGTACCAATTTTCAAAAATATATACAGGTTGGTTGGAAAGTTATGAGACAATGAAGATATGGACATCCTGTATCTCGGTTATAAGAAGTCGAAGACCCATCAACCATGGGTTTTTTGAAATCACCCCAGTGACCCCTATCCACAGTTGAAGTATTTACCTTTCCCAATGAAACACCCTGTATAAAAAGAAATAGTATGTTTGAATGTCCACAAGAACACCACAACTTTAATAAATCACCGTAATTATGAATTGGTTGAGGTACGTATCTCTCTTTTTTTGATTTAGTTCTCATCACTATCACTCCACAATGTAAACCATTATTTACAGATTAATAAATTGACAAAGCCCATGGCCATGGGCGAAACGTTTTTCTACTTAATCCTTTGAATTTCTTTATGAAACCGAATCCAAACCCCAAGAAAAAGCTGCAAATCAAAAACATAACAGGATTCAAGAAAATCCCTCAACAAACATGTAATGGTAATATGTTAGAATGAAACAACAAAGAGGAAGGTCCGAGGGAGAGGGTCAGTCTTGATTTTACCGGCAACAGCCTTAGATGTAATTTGATCAAGAGAAAAGCCAGTTATTGGTAGTTTTCTCAAAAATCGACACCCATTTTTGTTGAAAACAACAACAAACAAGTTGATGATTATTCTCCTCCCGATTCCCGAAGAGTTATGGGTAGTTTTTTCAAAAATCCACACTTTTTTTGGTATGCAGGGCAAACTAGAGGATGCATTGTTGTAGGTTCGAGGAACATCTTGGACATAAATGTCCAAACAAGTTGATGCCTTTCTTCCATCAGATTCCTGAAGAGATATAGGTAGTTTTTTTGAAAACTGATACACTTGTATGTAGGGCAAACCAAAAGATTCATTGTTGTAGGTTCAAGGAACATCTTTCAGATTCCCGAACAGTTATTGGCAGTTTTAAAAAAAATCGATACTGATTTTCTTGAATGTAGGGCAAACAAGAATGTTTATTGTAGTAGGTTCAAGGAACATCTTGCACATAATTGACTGAACCAGTTGATGATATTTTTTCTTCAGATTCCCGAAGAGTTCAGCAACTCGACCACCCCCAGCGAAGCGTCCCCCACCCCCGAAACCGTCCCCCAACCCCCTACAGAGACTGATCTCGGCCTGTGGCAGGCCCTCTTGCGGAAAGGCTACAAACATTTCTCATTATTGTCGCAATTTGGTGAAGAGAAAAGCGAGTTATGGGTAGTTTTTCGAAGAACCTACACTCTAGAAGATTCATTGTTATAGGTTCAAGGAACATCTTTCACATAAATGTCGAAACAAGTTGATGATTTTCTTCCTTTAGATTCACAAAGAGTTATTGGTAGTTTTATTAAAATCGACACCCCTTTTCTTGTATGTAGGGCAAACTGGAAAATTCATTGTTGTAGGTTAAAGGAACATCTTGCACATAATTGACTGAACAAGTTGATGATTTTTTTTCTTCAGATTCCTGGGGAGTTGAGCAACTCGACCACCTCCAGCCTAGTGTTCCCCACTCACGAAATTGCCCCCCAACCCCCCGTAGAGACGGATCCCAGCCTGTGGCTGGTTCTCTCTCGGAACAGCTACAAACGTTTCTCATTTTTGTTACAATTCGGTCGAGAGAATAGCGAGTAATTGGTAGTTTTTTTATGAATAGACACTCTTTTTCTTATATGTAGGGTAAACTAGAAGATTCATTGTTATAGGATTAAGGTACATCTTGCACATTCGGAGTATGGTAGATTGGGAACATTGAGTGAATATTATGTTCAATGACAATTACAGCATGACAGTTTTGAACTTGAAATTGACCAAATGAGTTGATTATTTTGAAACTACCAGACGCGAAAGAAAACTCAGGAATCATTGAAGAACAGAAACGAAGTTATGATCGAAGTTGAATTATATATTCTTTGTAGTCTGTAATAGTTATGTTAGAATGAAACAACAAAGAGGAAGGTCCAAGGGAGAGGGTCAGTCTTGACTTTACCGGCAACAGCCTTTGATGTAATTTGGTCTTAAGAGAAAAGCGAGTTATTGGTATTTTTTTCAGAAATCGATAATTATTTTTTTTATGGAGGACAAACTAGTAGATTTATTATTGTAGGTTCAACGAACATCTTGTAATAGACTTAACAAGTTGATGATTGTTTTCAGGTTCCCGAAAAATTATTAGTAGTTTTTTCAAATTATGACACTTTTTTTCCTGAATGCAGGGTGAACTAGAAGATTCAATGTTGTAGATTCAATGAACATCTTGCACATAATTGACTAAACAAGTTGATGATTATTCTCCTTCGGATTTTGGAAGAGTTATGGGTAGTTTTTTCAAAAATTCACACTCTTTCTTGTATGCAGGGCAAACTAGATGATGCATTGTTGTAGGTTCGAGGTACATTTTGCACATAAATGTCCAAACAAGTTGATGATTCCCTGCCGTTAGATTCCTGGAGAGATATAGGTAGTTTTTTAAAAAATGGATACACTTGTATGTAGGGCAAACCAAAAGATTCATTGTTGTAGGTTCTAGGAACATCTTTCAGATTTTTTTCTTCACATTCCCGAAGAGTTCAGCAACTCGACCACCCCCGAACATTTCTCATTATTGTCGCAATTTGGTCAAGAGATAAGCGAGTTATGGGTAGTTTTTCAAAGAACTTACACTCTTCTTTCTTGTATGTGGGGCAAACTAGAAGATTCATTGTTATAGGTTCAAGAAACATCTTGCACATAAATGTCCAAACAAGTTGATAATTTTCTTCCTTTATATTCACGAAGAGTTATTGGTATTTTCATCAAAAATCGACACTCCTTTTCTTGTATGTAGGGCAAACTAGAAAATTTACTGTTGTAGGTTGAAGGACCATCTTCCTGAAGAGTTATGGGTAGTTTTTTCAAAAATTCACATTCTTTTTCTTGTATGCAGGGCAAACTAGATGATGCATTGTTGTAGGTTCGAGGAACATCTTACACATTAATGTCCAAACAAGAAAATTTACTGTTGTAGGTTGAAGGAACATCTTCCTGAAGAGTTATGGGTAGTTTTTTCAAAAATTCACATTTTTTTCTTGTATGCAAGGCAAACTAGATGATGCATTGTTGTAGGTTCGAGGAAGATCTTGCACATAAATATTCAAACAAGTTGATGATTTTCTTCTTTCAGATTCCTGAAGAGATATAGGTAGTTTTTCGAAAAATGGACACACTTGTATGTAGGGCAAACCAAAAGATTCATTGTTGTAGGTTCAAGGAACATCTTTCAGATTCTCGAACAGTTATTGGCAGTTTTTTCAAAAATCGATACTGATTTTCTTGTATGTAGGGCAAACAAGAATGTTCATTGTTGTAGGTTCAGGGAAAATCTTGAACATAATTGACTAAACAAGTTGATTATTATTCTCCTTCCGATTCCCGAAGAGTTATGGGTAGTTTTTTCAAAAATCCACACTCTTTTTTGTATGCAGAGCAAACAAGTTGATAATTTTTTTCTTTCAGATTCCTGAAGAGATATAGGTAGTTTTTCGAAAAATGGACACACTTGTATGTAAGGCAAACCAGAAGATTCATTGTTGTAGGTTCAAGGAACATCTTTCATATTCCCGAACAGTTATTGGCAGTTTTTTCAAAAATCGACACTGATTTTCTTCTATGTAGGGCAAACAAGAATGTTCATTGTTGTAGGTTTAAGGAACATCTTGCACAAAATTGACTGAACCAGTTGATGATATTTTTTCTTCAGATTCCCGAAGAATTCAGCAACTCGACCACCCCAAGCGAAGCATCTCCCACCCCCGAAACCGTCCCCCAACCCCCTACAGAGACTGATCCCGGCCTGTGGCAGGCCCTATCGCGGAACGGCTACAAACCCGGCCTGATGGGTGACGCCGGCCAGCTGCTCAGGAAGCTGATCAGCTGCAGGAAGCTCGGCATGACCATCACGCCGACGCCGCATGTGCTCAATTACACCCTTTTCAAGGTATTTACTCATCCTTCGAAAGGCTTAATGTCAATCAATCAACTTTATTATTCCCGAAAAACAACATTTGTTTATTAGCAGGGAACATGGTGAATATATAAATATATTTGACAAAATCAAATGAAGAAGACAGTAAAATAAGACTCACACTCGAGACATATTTTTATTTTAAAGTTCAACTGAAAATGATTCTTAATTGACTCAGCTGTTAGGTACCCAATAGAAAACTATATAAGGTGAAAATGAGATATTTGACTTCGAAAGATAGAAATAATATATAAAATCCAGTAACAACTCAAATTGTTTTTGTCTTATACAGGGTGTTGCGAAATTCGACCGACAACGAATGACCCTGTACATGAAACAACTTCACAAAATAAAAGTTTGGGTCGTTTGACACAACTTTTTCATTTAACATTTTTTCATTTGTCTGAAAAGAGTTGAGGGGAATTCCATTTTAAGAGGCGCAACCTGTACATAATTGTTAGAACTCATGTGGAATTATTTTTGTTCAAGTGAAATTTTTCATCAAAAAAATATTTTTTGTTCAAGTGAAATTTTTCATCAAAATCAGAAAAAATATTGTACGTAACAAGTTAGGAAACGCATTTTGTGTAACTCTATCCCCTAGTTATACAAAATGACATGTTTCCTAACTGGTTGAGTAAATATCGAAAAAATCAATTTTGCCTGATAAAAATCGTAACTGTTTCATCGTGTTAAGGAGCGACAGAGCTCTCTGGATGCCGCTAACGCGGAAAGGAGTTCGGCCCGAAGGAAACAGAGCTTTCCTTCCAAGGCGAACGTGCAAGCCGAGGCGATGCCGACGCCGATGGAGCACCAGGACAACGAGGAGGACGATTCGAGGGAGAGGACCAGTCCCGACTTCACCGGAAACAGCCCTTGGTGCAATTTGGTCAAGGGAAAGGTGAGTGTTTTGTGAAAATCTACACTTTTTCGAAAATTACGAGACATAGGTAGGACAAACTATAAGATTTATTTTTGTAGATTCAAGGAACATCTTGCACAATTGACGTGTGGTAGATTGTCTATTTCAAGTGCAGTGAAAAATTATGTTCAATTAAAATCGCAACAATCTTGAAATTGTTCAAACGAATTGATAATTTAAAAAACAATCAATGCATATGTAAATCTAGAAATTATCACGGAACAGAAATGAAAGTTATGATTGAGGTTGAAATAAATATTCCTTGTAATAGTATTATATTAGAATGAGACAACAAGGACGAAAGTTCGAGGTAGAGGGTCAATCATGACTTCACTGGCAACAGCAACTGGTGCAATTTTGTCAAAAAAAGGTGAATTTTTCTATAAAATGGTAATTTTATCAAAAATCCACGTTTTTCCTACAACATACGTAGGACAAACTAGAAGATTTTTTGTTGTAGGTTCAAGGAACATCTCGCGCGTTTGTCGAGTGGTTGATTGTCTATTTCGAGTGTAGGGGAAAATTATGTTCAATCAAAATCGCAAGATTCTTGAAATTGATCAAACGAGTTGATAATTTCAAAAAGAATTACCTAACACAAATGCTAATCTAGAAATTATTGAAAAACAGAAATAGAGTTATGATTGAGGTCAGAATACATATTCCTTGTGATAGTATTATATTTTGATGAGACAAGGACGAAAGTTCGAGGGAGAGGGTCAATCTTGATTTCACCGGCAACAGCCCTTGGTGCAATTTAGTCAAAAAAAAGTTCTTTACAAAATGGGCATTTTTTTCATAAATTACGGTCTTCCTACAACATATGTAAGACTAACTAGAAGATTTATTGCTGTAGGTTCAAGGAACATCTCGCACATTTGCCGAGTGGTAGATTGTCTATTTCAAGTGCAGTCAAAAACTATGTTCAATTAAAATCGCAACAATCTTGAAATTGTTCAAACGAATCGATGATTTTGAAAACAATTAATGCATATGTAAATCTAGAAATTATCAAGGAACAGAAATAAAAGTTATGATTGAGGTTGAAATACATATTCCTTGTCAATCTTGACTTCACCGGCATCAGCCCTTGGTGCAATTTGGTGAAAGGAAAGGTGTGTTTTTCTATAAAATGGGCATTTTTTCGAAAATCTACGGTTTTCTTACAACATATGTAGGACAAACTAGAAGATTCATTGTTGTGGGTTCAAGGAACATCTCGCGCGTTTGTCGAGTGGTAGATTGTCTACTTCGAGTGTAGTGGAAAATTATGTTCAATCAAAATCGCAACAGTCTTGAAATTGACCAAACGAGTTGATAATTTAAAAAACAATTAACGCAAATGAAAATATAGAAATTATGGAAGAACAGAAATAAAGTTATGATTGAGGTCTGAATACATATTCCTTGTTGTATTATATTACAAGGACAAGAGTGCAATTGGGAGGGCCAGCCTCAAACCGGAAATAGCCCTTGGTGCAATTTGGTCAAGGGAAAAGTGAGGTTTTTGCAAAAATCTGCACTTTTTCTTGAAACATAAATGTAGGTAACACTAGAAGATTTATTGTTGTAGGTTCAAGGAACATTTTGCACCTGTGATGTGTGGTAGATCACAACACAGTCTTAAAATTGACCAAATGATAATTCAAAACAATTAACGCAAATGTGAATTATGAAATTAAACAGAAATAAAGTTATGATTGAGGTCAGAATACATATTCCTTGTAATAGTATTATTACAAGGACGAAAGATCTAGGTCAATCTTGACTTGAATGGCAACAGCCTTTGGTCATCTTTAGTGCAATTTGGTCAAGGGAGATGTGAGCTTTTTTGAGAAAATCTCTCAGTCTCTTCGAAAGTTATACGGTTTTCTTCAAACATATGCATGACAAACTAGAAGATTTATTGTTGTAGATTCAAGGAACATCTTGCTCATTTTATGTGTGGTAGATGTCTATTCCGAGTGTAGTGGAAAAATATGTTCAACCAATATCGCAACACAGTCTTGAAATTGATCAAACGAGTTGATAATTTCAAAAGCAATAAATGTAACTCTATAAATGATTGAAAAACAGGAATCAAGTTTTGCTTTAGGTTGGAATACATATTCCTTGTAATAAGTATTATATTATAATGAGACGATAAGGACGAAAGTTCGACGGAGAGGGTCAACCTTGACCTCACCGGTAATAGCCCTTGGTGCATTTTGTTCAATGAAAAGGTGTGTTTTTTTCACAAATCGACACTTCTTGCAATATAATATGTAGGACAAACTAGAAGATTCATTGCTGTAGGTTCAAGGAACATCTTGCACATCAGTCACAACACAAGCGTTAATAACTTCAAACTGACCAAGCTTGAAGCGAGTTGATAATTTTAAAAACAATTGACGCAACTGAAAATTTAGAAATGATTGGTAAATAGTAATGAAGTTATAGTTAAGGTCAGATTACTTATTCGTTGTAGCCTTTGATAGTAATATTTCAGAATAAGACAGCAAGGAGGAAGGTTAGAGGATAGAGCCAGTCTTGCAACAGTGTTTGTTGAAATTTGGTCCAGAGGAAATCGAGTTATGGGTAGTTTTTTCCGGAAAACCATTTATTTCTTGCAACATATGTGGGACAAACCAGAAGATTGTTGTAGGCTCAAGGAACCTCTTGCGCATTTGCCGTTTAGTAGCTTGAGTATTTCTAACGTGGAAAATAATTATGTTCCATCACAATCACGACACAGTTATTGAGAACTAAAAGTTGATAATTCTAAAAATAATTGACGCAAATGAAAATGTAGATATTGAAAAGCAAACTGCGTTATGGTTGGGGTCAGATTACATATTTGTTGTAGCCAATAAGGTGATATATTAGAATAAAAGACGAGAGGAAGGTTTAAGGGAGATTGCTACTCTTGATATCACCGGCAACAATCCTTGTTGCAATTTGGTCAGGAAAAGGCGAGTCTTGGTTTTTGTGGAAATCTACACTATCTCTTGTAACGTATGTAGGGCAGACTAAAAGACTCACCATTGTGGGTTAAATGATAATCTTGCACATTCGAATTATCTAGGATGATGAGCTAACAACTACTCTCGATTCAATGACTGAATAAAAACCTAGGCATCAAGTGTTCGTTTACAGAGTGAAACCGGCATGAGAGTCCCAATTTCACCGCAATTTGGTCAAGAGAAAGGCGAGTTATTGGTAGTGTTCATAAAATCCCAACTTTTTCCATGTAACATATGTAGGACAGACTAGAAATCTCATTGTTATAGGTTTAAGGAGCATCTTGCATACTTGAATTCTTCGGCTAGAGAGATGAGGAAACAAACTCTTACTCTCGATTCAATGCCCAACAAAAAACTAGGAATTCCTTGCTTGTTTACAGAGTAGACCTGGCATGGGATTCCCCATTTCACCGACAACAGTCCTTGGTGCAATTGGTCAAGAGAAAAGCGGGTTATTGGTAGTTTTTCTCCGAAGATCTATACTTTTTCTTGTTTCATCTAGGGCAGATTTGAAAACTCATAGTTGTAGGTTTAAGGAACACTACATATTTTAATTCTCTAGGTCTAGAGAGATGACGGAACAAGAGAAAGGCGAGTTATTGGTAGTGTTTATATAATCCCAACTTTTTCCTTGTAACATATGTAGGGCAGACTAGAAATCTCATTGTTGTAGGTTTAAGCAACATCTAGCATATTTGAATTCTTGGGCTAGAGAGATGAGGAAACAAACGCTTACTTTCGGTTCATTGACCAACAAAAAACTAGGCATCCCCTGTTTACAGAGTGGACCAGGCATGGGGTTCCCAATTTCACCGGCAACGGTCCTTGATACAATTTGGCCAAGAGAAGTATTGGTACTTTTTTCGAAAATCCCAACTTTGTTCTTGTAACATAATATGTAGGGTAGACTAGAAAACTCATTGTTGTAGGTTCAAAAAACATCTTGCATATTTGAATTCTCTCTAGGGCTAGAGAGATGAGGGAACAAACGCTCACTTTCGATTCAATGACCAACAAACAACTAGGCATTCCTTGCTTGTTCACAGACTGGAACCGGCATGGTAGTCCCAATTTCATCGGCAACAGTCCTTGGTGCAATTTGGTCAAGAGAAAAATGAGAACATTGTAATTTTTTGAAAGTTACACTTTTTCTTGTCATAAGTTGGGCAGACTAGAAAATTCATTGTTGTAGGTTTAAGGAACATCTTGCAGAATATAATTCTCTAATTGGACGAAAGAACAAACGCCTACTTTTGATTCAAAGACCAACAGAAAAAAACAGGCATTCCTTGTTTTTTTGCAGAGTGGAACCGGCATGGGAGGGAAAAGAGTTGGCATGAGGTGCACGAATAGCGGCACGCAGAACACGGCGATCTGGAGGAGGAATTTGAGGGGGGAGATGGTGTGCAACGCGTGCGGCCTGTACTTCAAGTTGCAAGGCATCGGCAATCACACTTTTCCTTGTAACATGTAGGGCAGACTAGAATATTCATTGTTGTGGGTCTAGGAACATCTTGCATATTCGAATTATCTAGATGAACGAGAGAACAAACGCTTACTTTCGATTCGATGAAAAAATTAAATTAGAGGCATCCCTTATTTTTTTACAGAGTGGACCCGGCATGGGAATCCTAATTTCATCAGCAACAGTGGTCAAGAGAAAGGCTAGTTATTGGTAGTTTTCTGACAATACCAACTTTTTCCTCGGGACATATATAGGGCAGACTAGAAAACACATTGTTGTAGGTTCAAGGAACATCTAGCATATCTGAATTCTCTAGATGGTGAGGGCTACTTTCGATGCGATAAGAAAAATGAAAACCTTGTTCGTTTATAGTGTGGCCCGGCATTGGAATCCCAACTTCCCCGGCAACAGTCCTTGGTGCGATTTGATCAAGAGAAAAGCGAGTCGTTGGTAGTTTTTTTGGAAATCTACACTTTTTCAAGTAACATGTAGGGCAGATCAGAATAATCAGTGTTGTAGGTTTAAGGAACATCTTGCATAATATGTGAACTCTCTAGGTCTAGGGGAAATTGAAACCTATGCATTCCTTGTTCGTTTACAGAGTGGACCAGGCATGGGAGGGAAAAGGGTCGACCTGCGGTGCACGAATTGCGGCACGCAAACCACGACAATTTGGAGGAGGAATTTGAGGGGGGAGATGGTGTGCAACGCGTGCGGCCTGTACTTCAAGTTGCACGGCATCGACAGGCCGGTGACGATGCGGAGAGACACGATCCATACGAGGCGTAGAAGGCCGAAGGCCATCGAAAAGGAAAAAATACCAGGTCAGTCTTTGGTAGAAGTCCATATTGCTCAAAATGAAGTGAAATTTTTCAATGGAAGGAAGGAATGCTCGAAGTCTTCTCCACAAATTTTAATGGTGTTGTTATATAATCATAAGGAACATGTTGCGGTCTTATAAAGGACCATCTTCAGCCTAATTGAAAGCTCTACAATACAAAATAGAGGTTAATGTTAAAGAATTACCTAATTTGTGCTTGACTAACTCGGAGTTGAAAAATTTTTGGTGCTCCTAGTTATGCAATTGTTGTCAATGCCCATAGTCAAGAAATCAAATTATTAATGAGAAAACGGGTTCTCAATAAATGCGCTAAGTAAAACAGTGCGCGAAGTACCTACTTCGCGCATTGTTATGTAAAATATATGAGATATTTATATTTCAACTTTATGGTCCTCAATCGAGCATACATCCACGAAATCATTTATTTTTGAATGTTCAACGATAACTTTGTTTTATCTCTTGGAGCGCACGGAGAGAAATTCCTATTATGTTCGTGGAACATCGTGCGAACCTAGGGAGGATAGGGGGAGGCCTTTTGAACCAGTTCAACACTATTTTTTACATCAAGCTTAGCAAATTTTTACTTTAGAACTATATATTTTTTGAGGTTTGTAGAAAAAATGTTGTTTGCAACTCGAGCGCGAAATACTTTGGTCATCTCGACTATTTTTTAGATCTCGATCACCAAAGTAGCATTTCACGCTCCAGATACAAAAATAACTCATTATCTTCTAATTATTGTTCTTTGCAAGGTAATTTTCTTTGAAATGACTAATTCCTGGTAATATTTTAGTGGTTACTCTCATCACGATGACTCCATTTCATCATGATTTTTCTCATCAGGTGGTAATTAGATTCATTATTCCAAATTTTTTGGGATTTTCTCTCCTCGTTTCTATAAAATAAAAATATGAATATTATTTCAATATACTTGTAGTAAGGACAAATCAGATGATTTGCCCCAAAATGTCACTGCGTTTAAAGAATTTTCCTATCAGAGAGCCTAAAAGAAAAATTCACTAGCTTGTCAGTGACAATTTGTATAGAAAAATTTTCGCAGAAGAGAAATAAAGGTATATAGAAAAAATATCAGATTTTCACTTATCTTTGGACGTTTCGGGACCGATTCTGCTCCCGTTTTCAACATGAAGAGATTTTTTCAATTGCGAAGTCGTATAATATGTCTTGAAGCTTTTCAGTTTTCAATGACAATTGGTGACGTTGGCAATCAAAGGAGTTACAGGATGTTTTCATTAATTAATCTTGAATTTACCATTCTCATGTTCAGATTTTAGTAGTGAATACCATGTTCTGTCTATATCAAGATTAATTAATGAAAACATCCTGTAACTCCTTTGATTGCCAACGTCACCAATTGTCATTGAAAACTGAAAAGCTTCAAGACATATTATACGACTTCGCAATTGAAAAAATCTCTTCATGTTGAAAACGGGAGCAGAATCGGTCCCGAAACGTCCAAAGATAAGTGAAAATTTGATATTTTTTCTATATACCTTTATTTCTCTTCTCCAAAAATTTTTCAATACAAATTGTCACTGACAAGCTAGTGAATTTTTCTTTTGGGCTCTCTGATAGGAAAATTCTTTAAACGCAGTGACATTTTGGGGCAAATCATCTGATTTGTCCTTAATACACGTATATTGAAATAATATTCATATTTTTATTTTATAGAAACGAGGAGAGAAAATCCCAAAAAATTTGGAATAATGAATATACCACCTCCTCGATTAACCTACAGACAGTATTTGGTAATTAGATGTTAATTTTGTGTTGTATGGTAAAAGAATCAGTATGAGAGTGTACACACATTTTTGTTTCTGTGACAGGAAGAAAGTTTGGCATTTCATCTCTGTTGGCAGGTTATAAAATGTCACCTTTCATAAATTACTTTTTCCCCGTGGGAAAAAAGTTAGTACTTTTTTCCCGGATATATATCACATATATATATACACTGTTGATGGCTTTTGTTGTGCTATAGTTCCGAAAAATGAGTCAATAATACCGTCTCCGAGAAAGAACTGCAAGTCCTTTTATTTTCCATTCGACTTCGCAGTTACGTATATTACCATAGTGGAAGGAGAAGATGGTGTGCTCAACAGAAAGCTCAAACTCGTCTTGTTCTGCGCATGACGTCAGCTGGGATATAATTGTCATTGCTATTATTTGTTTTCGTGATGTCTCGAACTTCAGATATTATATAAGTACTAAAATTGTATGAAATAATTTCAAAATGCCCACTTGTTTCGTGTCTGGTTATGGAAATTCCAACTAACATACCAAAGGCACAGATATTGAATTTTTCTGCTTTTCCAAGAATGGAGACCTAATGAAACGATGGGAGCTTGCTGCCGACAGAATATAAACTCAAATCATGGTACCTACCTTTTATTCCTTATATCCTCATTCCAAAGTATTCGCACCTATCATATTATCATCACATTCATATTACAGCACGTATTTCTTCAAAACATTTCCATGCAAAATGTTCCCAAACAAGTGCGAAAGTACGGTTCTTGAATTACACACCTCCAAAAAATCACAAATATTTGAAACAAGATGCCATTCCTACAGAACATCTTCCGAATATCAAGTCAGAAATAATTGGAAAAGAATTCAAAACTCTTTTTTTTCTCACAAAATATTTATTGCAGCAAAGATTTGAATAACAAAACGACAAAAATTGATACTCCTGTTGTCGATGTCGGAGCAGAAGCAACGTCAACGTCGTCAACTGCTGAATTTTAATTTGTCAGAATCGATACATGCAGTAGTGGATCATTCAGATGGGATTGGCAATACATGATAATTCGTATGTATTTGCTATTTGCGAATGACCTCAAGACCACAATTTCCATAATCAATGAAATAGTAAAATCGAAGGAATAGGTACCTGTTTATATAAATTGAATTATTTCTAAACAAATCGAGAAACTTATAGAAATTTCAATGAACATGATTGAATTCATTGCACACGCCCATGGCAACGGTATCTCTCTGTGACTAGCAGCTGATCTTGGTATCCTAGATGACGTCACATAATATGCGCGTAGGCACACCATCATCTCCTTCCACTATGGTAAAGTGTATTTTGAGAGTAAATGGTATTGACTAGAGGATTATAATAAAACCAAGTTGTAAAATCCGAGATGCACATCATTAATGTAAAAGGACCGTATTCAGGTAATTTTGTTTCTCAGAGAGGGATTGTAGAGGATTACAGCTTACACTTCTTGTTCATTTTAGTCTTTGTATTTCATTGGTAGTGTTCACTTGTGTTACGGCGTGCAATAATTTTATAACATTTATTTGTTATTACAGACATTAATAGCAAAGATTTTATACCCCAACGTACAGAATAGGCAGTATGTGGCGTCCGTGGATAAAAAGTAATAGTGCTTCTTCCAGTGGTTCGTTAAAGAAGAATCACTTATCTTGTGACGCGAAAATCGTTATAAAAAATGTGTATAGTTCCTTACTTCAGCAAGGATATAACGCGGGTGCTGCAGCAAAAGTAACCAGTAATTTGACGAAGGTGCCTCTTACTTCAGTTAGACGAATTGTTGAAAATCCCATGGAATCAAGAAAAAAGCGTAAAGATTCCGGTGTCACAAAAAGTCTACACGACTGGGAAAAAGATTTGATAAGGCGAAAAATCTACACTATGTACGATGAGCAGCGTGTCCCTACAATCAAAAGTCTGAAACACCGGCTCATCAATGACGAAACTCAAATCAACTGTAGCCTCACTACTCTTTGGCGAGTTCTAACTGCAATGGGCTTTAAATATCGCAAAATTGACAAGAGACAAGTAAGTAATAATGGAATCCACACGTTTAATGAACTGGCGTTCTGAATATAGATCCCTACCTACTAATATACAAAACATAAAACTACATGAATCCCATTGCACCCTAGAACAGCAATGTTCGTGCACACAAAAAATTAATAGAGAGACATGTGTTAAGTACTTGGGCATTCTTGTAGATGATCTTCTTACATGGAAAGAGCACATAAACTATGTCACAAAAAAAATAAGAAAACTCATTTATAAATTCTATGAACTGCGTAACTTCCTATCTTATAAAACCATGAAAACAATATATTTTTCACTTGTAGAGTCTATCATAAATTATGGCATTGTTGTGTGGGGAAATGCCTGTAGCATATATTTGTCAAAGCTTGAAGTATCCCAAAAATGGATAATAAAAATAATGCTCTTTAAAAAAAAGCGCTATCAATCTCAATTAGTATATGAAGAAAGTAGATTACTGACTCCAAACCAACTTTACCTTAAAGCAGTTGCAAGGTTTATGCTGAAAATGACGTACTATAGAAATGATATCAGCCATAACTTAAACACGCGGAATGCTGCTCAACAGAATGTTCTTTTGAGAAACCCAAAACATGTTGCTTGCCAAAAACATATATATTGTACTGGCCCCAAAGTTTACAATGCTCTACCTCAGCATCTCAGATCAATGCCTTACAACAAAATTAAAAAAGACATCACAAAATGGATTGTACAAAGTAACTTCTCCCTTGTGTACCTAGAATGAAAAGACAAAAAATACATAAAACGTTCACGTATATTGAATCAATCAAACCCCTTCCCTTTTTAAGCTAAATTACTTACTGTATAATATTCTGTGCCTATGTGAACATTGACATAGTTAGAACCTCACCGATAATTCCATAAAGAAGAGATGCGCACACACAGTATCTTTGTATACCATAGTGCGCCAAATTCAAGTACTAGTTTAGGTCGAATCGTCTAAATGGACAATCTTTCTGTTTTTTATAGACCTCTTAGAATAGACTTATTTTGTAACTGTATTACC